TTTTTGGGGGTTTTCACTCACAACCCCTCCATGCAGAAAAATCGTGTTTTTACTGGCTCTTCCACGTCCCCCTGGTCTGGGACCCATTCGGGTCCCAGGCTCAAGTATCGGGTTCTGAAGGTAAAAGGCCGTGTAAGTCCGCAATCGCGAATTAGGAACCTGCATCTCGGACCTTCGTTCAAGTATATGCGGGCGGTTTTTGCTGCGGCCCACCTACCTTGAAGCAGCAATTTATCGAAACTACCGTGGTGTTGGAAGAAAAACGTCGCTCCCCCTCGCCGGAGCGAGTATGGGCGTAGCCCTAGCTCACCGAGCTGAAGCACATCCAGGGCCTGGTTAAAAGTTTTTCGCCACACATGAGGTTTGGCAGTCAAAAAAGAGTGTGCAGAGTGGCGACGTTTCCAACTATACAAAGAAGGAAGAACCGAGGTGTCAGTGATGGTCACACTTTCACTCGCCCCCTGGCGGGCTCCTGACTTGGTTAATCCTAAGGAGATAACGGCTGGCCCCTTGGGCCCGGAGATGTAAACATCCTTGGAAGTAAGGCTTAAAAGTTCCCCTGTGCGCAAGAGTCCAAAAAAGGCGACCCGCAAAGAAAGAGCAAAGTCAGGGAGGTTCTGCATGACAGCCCACCCGCACAAGGCGTCGAGGATACCCAATGTCATGGGTGGAGCTCGGTTTGGGATCTCAGCTGTGGACCACGCCTTTAACAGGCGCCAGCTACCTGGAAGTTTGCGACGAAGATTAGGATCAAAGTCCTGGAGGGCCGCAAGAGCATTGTTTGCCTCAGATTTGCCGCGTCCGTCTGCCCACAGATATTCTAAATAGTCACTGACCAAGTTGTCCATTTGCACCACTCGCTTTGGGAGGATCAGGCCTTCCCGTCAACCAAGCAAAGAACTGCTCAAGGCTGGCTTCATAGCGCTTACGCGTCCGTGGTTGTACTGTCAAATCTTTCAGCTTGCCAAGTGTCTTTCTAACCGCTTTTCTTTGCTGCTGGCTGCGACCTTCAACTACTTTTGCTTTCTTCGGACCCATCTTCGGTGAAGTGGCCGGCGCGACGGCTTGTCGGCCGGGTTCTGGTGAGTGTCAATGTACCCCCAGGTACCTTGAAGGCCACTGGCCAACAGCAAAGCGGATATCTTGGCAAGAGTTCGCCGTAACGTCCACGTGAAAGAGCATGTAGTACAACCAAGGAATCGACCAAATGTAAGAATCTGCAGCGTGTTTCTCGAAGTTCACGAATACGCCAAGCCAAAGAAGTCTTCACCGCTCGAAGCTCAAGGGCGTTGATGTGTTCAGGAGTACCTGTCCACCGCCAGCCGGCGATTTCCTTCCAGCGCCAGAGTTTTCCTGGGATGGATGCGCGCAGGCGGTGATAGCGAGCTGGCATGTCAGTGCCCATCTGGAGCAACAAGTCCTCACCCTTGACCGAGACCTGCCCAAAGAGCTTTCTTACCAATCCTTGACTTGGCGTGCCCTGTTGAGTAGTTCGACGCAGTGGAGGCCGCAAGAGCAGACTTGGGAGGTGATCTTCCTCCCCTGGAGTGAGGCGGCGAACTATCTCCGATACATCCAACTGGGGGTTTAGCCCTATTGTTCGGAAGAGTGAGTGCAACAAGTAGCAGACAACCGGAACGGACCAAGTGTTCCCTAGCAAGGTCAACCGACTGTCATTCCATGCAGGAGTGTTGTGCAAGTGCTTTGGAAGACACTTAGCGGTATACTCCAAAGGAAACCCAAGGATGCATTCACGTTCGCGAACGTTAGGCACACGCACAACTTCACCGTTGGTGACACTGTTGATGGACTTGTATTGGTATGGCGGGAAGCGATGGAGGTCTGCCCTCCAACGGCTCAGCTCTTCATTTGTGCAAAGGTCTACTCCTGCGGGCTTGCGACCTGGCACTTGCGATGGCCTTGAAGTGGTAAAAGTCGGCAATGTTTGGCTGGGCGATACCCGGCGCCATCCTGGCTCCAGGTAGTCCTTCTCTTCCACCTTTGCCTTCAAGCATACCTTACCTGCAATAGGCAACCGGGATTGTTCCTCAACCTTCACCGCTCCTTCACATTCCAAGGGCTCCCAGTTGAACCAATACAACCGAGGGCGTCTAGCCAAGCTCACGCCACCAGCGTCGATCAACCATGGAAGGCCCTCATAGGCCTCGTTCATTACCAGGCAGTCCTTCGCATCCATGGAGGCTACGTTCTCGGCAAGGCGATAGATGGGGCACCATCGGAAAAACCTGCGTAACAACTGTTCGACTCGAGGAACGTGAGCGAAGAGTGAGGATCTAGCATCCCGCAGCGCTCCTTTGCGATCACAGTTGAGTCCTGAGACTCCCTGGCACGGGGGTCCCGCACCTAGGACTACAGCGCACACACCTGGGAACAACAGACTCCAGTTGCTAACCTCATGCTCATCAATGTCCTTGACGTCACTAATGTGCCGCACCTCGGGGAACCAACTTTCCACTACGCGCCTTGCGTCCTCGGAGATCTCAGCGGAGATGTAGCCCGCCACTGGGACACGCAGCGCATCAATGGCAACCCTGAGTGCACCAATGCCATCAAACAATGACACGACCAAGATGGGCTCGACGTCCTCCTGGGAGAGGATATCTCCCCTAACCTGTGCCAGGGATGCTGCCCTACCATAGGGGGATAGCTCCTTGCTCACGCATAGCCCTCCGCCAGTGGTTGATGCGTCACTGGCAGTGACATCTTCTGACACACCTGCACGAAAGTCCATGTACGCCAAAGGCGTCAACGCAATGAACCTCAACAACTCTCCCACATCCTCTCCCAAAGCTTCACGTTTTCGGTGGTCACCGCTCAACTCAATGATGCGCCTCCACAAAGCATTCAGTCCCGCCAGCAGGGGCCGACGGAACATTGCTATATACACCAAACCTCCGCCCACGATCTGAAGTTCTTTTTGTGAAGCCCTTCCTCGGATCACCAGCTCACAAGCGAGCCGCACATACTTGGCCACCTTTTCACCCTTCGGGGCTGTACCTTTCTCCCCGTCCAACCAAGCACCTTGAACCTCTGCCTTCACCTCCTGGGTCACAGCCTTCTTGGGGTGCCTGGGCAGGCCCAGGTCCTCATAGGTTTGCCGCACTGCTAAAGTCCAGGCCGAGGGGGTCCCCGTTAGGGTAGCTGCGAGCTTCTTGTCCACCTTGAGCAGCTCATCATAGTTGTCCAAGTACACACGGTAAAGGTGATCTGATGCCGAGAAACCACGGTCTCTCCTGAGCTCTTGGTGACCGGAGGCCAAAGCCTTTTCGCCTCTCAGGGCTTGGCCAATCACCCTCCTGTGGACATGCTGTGCTATGGCAACCGAGTTTATAAATCCCATCGGCAATGCCTGTGTCACCAAATGCCAGCCTCCTCCAACAACGCCACTTGGGAGAACCTCTATTGGTACCTCCCTTGCGAACCCCATGTACTTCCACCAGGATGACGGAGTCCGAAAGAGATAGAAAAAGCACCTTATATCCTCTGACGATGTGATGAGAAGCTGGCTGTCTTCTAAAATCACAGAAGACATACCCACCACACTAGGTAAGGTCGAGGTATCTCCCACCAGGCTTCTACAGCAGCTATTGGTGGGCACTAGGTTCATGATAAGCCGGCAAACTTCAAAAGGATCACCCTTTTCATCGACTGCACTTTCATCCTTACTTACAGCAAAAAGGCCGTTTAGCAAGGGTCGTCCGTCTATGTGATGTAGCTCCGACACATGCATCAAACGACACACTCCCCTCGCCAACAAGCCCTTGCAGACCTCTGCCCAGTGGCACTGCTCCACCATGATCGCCGGAGTGCGGCCAAGGTGTTGATCCTGGGACGGCAATAGGAAGCTCTCAAACTCTTTAACATAGTTGAGGGTTCCCCCATCACAGAAATCCTCCAACTCTAGAGATCCTACGGCCTCTGGCATCGCAGCCTCCACCATTTTCCATTGAAATGACCTGGCAACCTGGACCTCTTCTCCAGTGTAGTCCACCGTCCGGGATTGGAAAAGTTTGTGGAAATCCAGCGAGGGCAACCTCTCTCCCAACAAATGTGAGTCCGTAATCACCTGGTTTAGCCTGTCCGTCAACGTCCTTCGAAAAGTCTCCTCCTTTGTCCGAGTCTTAGTTCTGGTTCCATACAACAAATTCAATGCACGAATCAGCGAATCTGTGCTGGGGGTGGATGGTTCATGCAATCCCAAGTCGCTTGCCAGTGGCAAGGGGAACAAGTCCCCCTTGGGCTGGCTGCAACGCGCAAATCTAGATTCAACCACTGTCAATGCTCGGGACAATGCACCACCCAAATCCGCTATAGTCGCACCTTTTTTCCGACAGCAAGCCTCAAGCTCTAGGCGGCACGGTTCAAAGACCAGTCGCCAACTCGCTCCGATGCTGCCTTCTTCGCCTTGCAAAGACTGGGAGGCGCCACACGCGTCTTCCTCCCCTGCAAAAGGATTGTAATCCCGAGTACCTATTAATAAACACTCCACAATTAAAAAAACCCCACGTCCGAACCCCTAAATTCGGTTTATATTTGGTTTTAAATTGCCGCCCTTTCAAA